GTCTCCATCTCTTGACCTTGTGATCGGCCCGCCTCGGCCTCCCAAAGTGCTGGGATTACAAGCGTGAGCTACCATGCCCAGCCTTAACATAGGATTTTCATCCTAGAATGACTTTTCCCCAAAAAGATTCAATCTTAGGCCTCTTGCTGCAGGCAAGTTCCATGGGACTGCACAAAAGAGGCGGGGAAACAGTCCCCATGGGAGATTGTAGTTTCTTTAAAAATATGCTTCTAGGTCAGGAATGGTGGCTCATGCTTGTAATCCCAGCAGGTTAAGAAGCCAAGGCGGAGGATCCCTTGAGCCTAGGCGTTACAGACCAGCCTGGGCAACACAGGGAGACCCCCGTCTCTACCTTCTACCTCAAAATTAAAAAAGTTTGCCAGGCATGGTAGCATGCGCCTGGTGGTCCCAGCTACTCAGGAGGCTGCGGTGGGAAGAACTCTAGAGCCCAGGAGGTTGAGGCCACAGCGAGCCACAACTGCGCCACTGCAGTCCTGCTTGGGTGACAGAGCGAGACCTTGTCTCGAAAAAATTCTTTTAATTAAAAAAAAAAAAGAAAAAGGCTCTACTACTTCCTATGAAGTTCATAAAAAGATCTTACCTTTGTTTAGTCATCCAGAGTAAAGTCATAGGGCTCAAAGTCTTTCCGGAAGCGGCGAGCCAGGGTCTCCTCGTCTTCCTTACTGATCTGACACTGCCTCCAGTCAGACTTACCCGGAATATTAAGGATGGCTTCACTGGCCAGGACCTCCCTTCCAAACTGCAAAGGAAAATTCTTTTTAATTCTGTGGAAAAGCTTTTCTCCTGTGTCAAGTTCAACATAAAAATATGCTGCTCCTTGCTGTGCAATCTGCTTAATGTCAGAGTGCTCTGGGATTTTCAACAGCTCTATCTGCTGCTCCTGGGCCCGGGTAATGAAGGCATCTTTAATGTCATCAGTAGCACAGCAGCTGACTGGGACAGGAATGACCTGTAGCTGGAGGTGATGGCTCTTATAATTTCTCTCAAATACAACACACCGTTTCCTTCGACTCTTAAAGAACCATCTCAGTGTGGCCTTATACGTCTCCACCTCTTCTGCCACCTCTGCTGAAAGCTCCAGCACTGACTGGTAGTGTCCAATGGGCAGGATGAGGACATGGTCATCAGATAAGCCTCCTTTGGCCAGGGCGAGGTAGCAATCTGTGCCGATAATGACCACCAAATGCTTTTCCACTTCAGGGCTAGCAAGGCAAAACCAGCAGGGTCCTGGAGGCTGAGGTGGTTTGCGAGGCTGCTTTGGGTGAGGAGAAGATTTGCTATCTCTACCTGTGGATGAACGCTTCCTTCCCTGCTTTTCATTTAAATCAAAGAAAAACTGACAGGCTGATTCTTCCACAGGGGCAGAAATTTGCTTTCCTATGGATGCTTCCTGCCCAGATTTTCTGTAAGGGTTTTCAGTGACATCCGGAGGCTGTTTTACCAGTTCTGCTGCATCCATTAGCTTCATGGGAACAATACTGAATGCATAAAGATACTTTTTCTTTTCTGAATTTCCAACATTTGCCAGAGCTATAAACCGGGTGGCATGCTGTGCATTTTCCTGTAGAACGATATGGTTTCGATCTGGAAGCCTCTCATAATAGGTCTTTTCCAAAGCAGCAAAATGATATCTTGGTTTCAAGCCCATGGCAAGACTGGAAACCAAAGCAGAACCACAGTTTTTGGTATCCACTTCTCCAGAAGAATTCCCAAAGTTCCCCACATACTTGGGCCAGGGGGATGTGAGCAAGATATCAACGCCCTTAAACTGGGAGGTTGTACACAGCATCGTTCTCAGAGAGGACACATCCTTGGGACTAAAATTATAACCTGGTACTGGCTCATTTAAGGACTCTGTGCCACTGAAGTACACAATCTGCAGCCCCGAGCTTCCAGTGAAGATACCTTTACGACCCAGATAAGTAACGTTTTCAGCTAATTCACATCCATCAGCATCCTGGAAATATTTTACTGTTTCCTGGTTATTAGCACCAAGCTCATATGTCTGAATAGGAGCTTTCTTGATGCCAGTCTTATACTCCTCCCATTCAGCATCTGGGGTGGAGCCAAAAAAATTTCCTACACACAACAGCAGATCAAAGTTTCCCCTTTTCTTCTGAATTGCTCGAACTCTATTGAACAAAATATCAAACTTTCCTTCAACATCTCCACAAGCCAAGAGGTGCAGCGGTTTCTGTGCCATCTGTCCGAATAGTATGAGTTGTGACTGCCACCTAAACTGGGAATGCGAATCTCAACTTCATTGTTATTTTTATTAAGTTGTATTACTGAAGTCACTCAGGATGCTAAGATTGTGACTTTTGGATATTTGTAGAGAAGTTAGCATACTGTAAATATTAATGGGTTTTTGATATGAGGCTCTCACATTAAATGATGATAAAACACAGCAATAAAGTCAATCTCACTTATTTAAGTAGAGAAGCAAAGAACACAAAGGATAAAAGTAATTCCATCATTTTAATATGTGGCCATTCTAAAGTCTATTCTTTAGTAAGAACCGAGAAATGTTATAAACCAAAGGAAAGTTGTGTATTAGTCTTCTAGGGCTGCTATAACAAAATGCCACAGACTGGGTGGCTTAAACAACAGATATTATAATTTTTCACAGTTTTGGAGGCTGGAGCTCCAAGATGAAGGTGCTGGCAGGGTTGGTTTCTGCTGAAGCCTCTCTCCTTGACTTGCAGGTGGCTGCCTTCTTACTGTGTTCCCATGTGAGCTTTTCTTTGCATAATCACACCCCTATTGTCTCTTCTTCTTCTTATAGGACACCCAGTCCTATTAGATTATGGCACCACTCTTACAACCTCATTTAACCTTAATTTCCTCCAGAAAGGCCCTATCTTCAAATACAGGTACATTGGGAATTAGGGACTCAACATATGAACTTGGTGGGGGACATAATTCAGCCCTTAACACTCTGTCTGCCTCACACCCTTGCCCTGTAAATTTGAAGGTCTCCTCATTACCCTCAGAGAAGTTGCAACCTAAGTCATGGTGACTAAAGGCGACTTCCCACCTTGCTTTTCCATGGGCTGCTTCTGTGTCTTAAACAAAATTCATCAAGCATTGTTTGCTTTGGGTATATTCCTTCTTGCACTTATTCGGTTCCTTGACTCTAGAATGCCTTTCCCCATCTTTCCATGTCCATGTCATATCTGTTTCTCTGATCCAGCCTAAGTGCAGCTTCTCCTGGGACACCTGTCCTAGTCCACCCTGATGGAAATCCTCTCTTTTCAGCCAAGCTCCCTGGCACAATGTGCTCCCTTTAGTACGTTTCATTTTCTCAATTTTATGTCAGCTCATGCTTCAACTCCGCTATGCGTTCCTGAGGTATCAACTAGTTCTGATTCATCCTTGTCATCACTGTAATCCTTCTGCAGCACCGTGTCTCATTCTGCATTCAATCTTAAAAAATGTGTTGAATGAGTAAATGAAATGTTGATTGCCTGCCAATGACTACCAGGTAGGGGTTGAGGGATCAGGAAGGATAAGCATCAAACTTTGTGGTTATCCATGGAAAAGTGAGATTTCAGAGGGCTTTTATTTTATGTTTCCTATATTACTGAATTATTTTAATTTTATGATATGTATCCACAACTTTTTAATTTTTACCCCACTCCTGTTGAATGCAGTAACTTTTTAAATAAAAAAGAGTATCAAAGATTTCAAAAATTTTTTTAAAAAGGTAGGTGGGAGAGAGAACACTGATGTTAGGAAACATGGCTATTATACTTAAAATGTATTGTCTATGTGAACAAGAAAATAAAAAAGGAGGGCTTTGCAGGTACCTACGGAAGTATTTGCATATGCAGAAGCACTCATCCTAAAACATAATTATAAGGTTTGTAGAATTCTTTGACCACTTAGACTATGTACATGTATAGCTGATAAAAATGAAAACTTAAAAAAAAAATGCTGTAGGCCACATGCAGTGGCTCACGCCTGTAATCCCAACATTCTGGGAAGCCAAGGCAAGAGGATCACTTGAGCCAAGGAGGTTGAGACCAGCCTGGGCAATATGGAGAAACCTCACCTCTACTAAAAAGTACAAAAATTAACTGGGGTGGTGGCACATACCTGTAGTCCTGGCTACTTGGGAGGCTGAGGTGGGAGGCTTGCTTAAGCCCAGGAGGTCGAGGCTACAGTGAGCAGTGATCACACCACCAGCCTGGTAACAGAACAAGAACCTGTCTCAAAAAAAAAAAAAAAAAAAAAATTGCTGCCCTTGAGAAATGCCTTATCCTTTCTTTAGTATTAAAAAAATTTTAAGTATATGTAATACAACCCATCTTGATATACAACTTTTTTCACTTTTTCCCCATGTTGAGCATGCAACTTATATCTCTTATTTTCATCTTCTGGTCTTTACCACCAGATAGAAAGCCATCCCTGAGTTCCATGAGATATGAGAAAAAATAGAGATTGTTTTTAAAATTAAAAAGCATAAAACTTTTCAGTGACAATTAGGAGAAGATAAATTTTAGTAGAGTAAATGGTAACATGTTTGGAAAAAAAAAGAAGGTAAAATCTATTCAGAACATACCTTCAGGCTTTTATAGATACCTTTAGGATTATCTACACAAAGCTGAATTCACACACACACACACACACACACTCCTACTAAAAGCTATAGATATTTACGCTCATTACACTTTACAATGCATATGTGTGAAGCCTGAAACTATTGTTAGTTTTTTTTCACTCTGCTCTGAGCACAAAGTAGAAATGAATCCAGAGAAAAAATGAAATGTGCTTTCCCAGAGTCCACCCCTGCCATGGAACACAGTGAATGTTGTCCTCTGGGAGAGGAGCAAGCCATTTAAATTCAGGGAACAGATTCTCAACACTGGCAAGCTATTTTTAGCGCAAGCTGTAGCTTAATTTGGAAACCAAGCAGTTGAGGTCTTGCCTTTTTCTTGGATTGACTTTTTTTTTAATGGCAGTAGACAGCTATACATACAGAAAAGTGTTCTCTAAATGTAGCATTTTAAGCACTCTTGAAGAATGTATAATTCTAAAGCTGGTTGAAAAAAATGTTCATGCCAGAGCTTTGCAAGTATTGTTTATCTATAGACTGTTGTTGTTTTAAAATTCATCGTGTATGGTCCTGAAAAAAAAGGAAGATGCTCTTAACTGGTTTATGTAACCACAGTTTTGGGGTATATGCCAACCTGTACAGCAACCTGATACAACAGCAACCTCACCTGAATGTCAGGTGCCTGGCCTGGGAGGTCTGGCCAAAATAAAGATGTGGGGAGTCTCTTGGCTTCCAGAACACTGTAATGCTTATGCTCAAAAGGATCCCCCAGAGTTTTAGGGCAGTAGGACACGTATTCTATCAGCCATGATGCCTTAGCTGTTGCAATGACCCTGTCTATTAGGGTAGTTTAATTCAAATTAAAGGTTAATTAAAGTAAATAAATTAAAAATTAATTTCTTTAGTCATGCTAGCCTCATTTCAAGTACTCAGTCACATGGGGCCAGTGGGCTACCATATTGGACAGTGTAGAGCCTTTCTATTGTCACGAAAAATTCTACTGGACAGCACTACTCTATACCAATGACAAAATAACATTAGGCAGTTTTGTGAAAAGCACCAGATGAGGTGTTAAGAGACATAGAATTTGAACCTATCCTAGCCTCTTTTTTTTTTTTTTGACAAACACAAACATTTAAAATAGTACTATTTTAAGCACTTTATAAAGTGCTTATTAACGTCATTTAATCCTCATAATGACCTTAGGTGCTGCTACAATTATTTCCATTTTCTAGATAAGAGACTGAGGCACAAAGATGTTAAGTGCTAAGTCAGCAAGTGGTAGAGCTGAGATACGAACCCCGGCACTTTGCCTTCAGAGTCTTTGGTCTTAACCACTACTTAATGCTGCCTCTCTGAAAATCCACGTGATTTGGGAACATTTCTTCACCACTGTATTCATCTTTCACATAAAGAAAGCAACCAAATTTCATCTAAGGTCCTTTCCAGTATGAATGCGTTGAAATTAATTCTCTTATACAGTTGTTATTGAGTGCCTGCTCTGGGTAGGGAGTATATTAGATGCTGGATATAAATAGATGAACAAAATAGACATGGTGCCCTTTTAGTGAGAGAAAGAGACATTAACCAAACACATAAATACGTGGAAAATGGCAATGGGGAGCCGTGTGGCAAAGGATGGGATCTGGATATGGCAAATGTTCACTGAGATTTGACCCAGAGAGAGCGACCATGGCTCTTTTGAGCAGGTGGAACAGGGCAATGTGGCCAACACTAAGAGGAGGGGAGCTCTTGGGAGCTCCACCATCCCAACTGCTGCCACCCAGGGACAGTTAGCCATACCTACACACCTCTCATGGCTGTGGGTTTATCGTGGATCTGTGTGGGTGGGGAATGGGAGTGAGAGAATGGTGTTGGAGGCTACTAGTGAACAGGACCACAGAGAAGCAAAATACATCACCCTTCAGGCATGCCCAGATTCATATCTCCTGGGCAAACACTATATGCTTCTATGTCAGAGTTAAAAAAGGAGGCAGGCTAACTTCTGTAATGGGGATCAGAAATAATTTGGGTTCCAGCCTGTACATAATTCATACAAAAGGGATAGCTTCGCACATGCTTATGTCAGGAATGTCAGCCTATGACAAAGCAAACGTGTGCAAGACTCAACTAGTGAATTCAGGCCAGAAACTTCACATTGGAGATTTGCCCCAGGGATTCTGGCTACAGAGATTTTGCTCCAGAAAGGGGCCTGATTCTCAAGTCTGTACATGAGAAATGTAAAATTAAGAGCAAATAGGAAGCTCATTCTGGAGAGGCTTCTTTCCCCTACTCTGCTTTTCTACTGTGGGTTTTCCTCAAGACTCAGGCCTTGCTTTCTTTCTGTTTGGCAAAGTCCTTCTCTGGCATGGCTTTAACCAGTTCATCACTAAGTGGTGCCAACGCAGACAGGAAACCAGCAGGGAGATATCCTAGTCAAGCCTTAAACCTGAGTACTATTAATAAGAAGAAAGATTTTCTTCTGAGAGTTCACTACTGAACAAGGGCAGTGGCTCAGAAGAGGAACTGATCCTACAGAAGAATCTTAAAGCCAGGATTGCAAATTCAGTACTGACTGTGGCAAGACAGGTGATAGAAATGAGTGAGATGGGCAGGGCAGGTCCATGGTAAACTGGGGATTTTGGACAGCTTCTACTTCTCCAGCTACTTGTGGCTCAATTTGTTTTTCT